TAACACATCTTCCTGCCATCTCTACAGGCATCAGAAAACCCGACTGCTTCTTTCGCTTGCTCATGTGGCAGCCTCAAGAACAACTCATCTTGCCTGTAGGGCTTTCTGCCTGCTCTCTCAGCCACTGCATTTGGACTATTCTGGGAAACCCATTCTCTGCTAAGGAGTGACCCTGCCATGGTAGTGGCAACCATGCCAGACTTTCGTCCCATCAGACCTTCCTCACTGAGCCTGTGTGAGTGGCAGACAAGGACTCACTGCTTTAGCATCGGCCACTTGTGGTAAAGAACAGTTTGGTTTTGGATTTGGTCACAGGTTTTTTTTTTTAAATGTAACCGCATTACTATCAGACAGTAGCTGACGCAGATCCAGGTAGCAAGAACCAGCAAGAACCAGCAAAGAGGTCTATTTGGGTCAAAATAGGGTCCCACATTTGAGACATCAGGGGGAGACCTTCTGGCCCTGTTATATTGTTGATAGGATCTGTGTGCACCACAGCTGCAGACCAGACGTGGTGGTCCAGGTGCTGAGTTTGCTGGGTGCCCATGTGGTTGGCCACCTCAGTCTACTTGCCATGGTCCAGAAGATGCAGTGCGGGATGAGAGCAGCCTGAGCAGCTGGCCAAGCAATGAGCAATCCTAGCTCATAAACCAGATCTCCCTCCCGCCTCATGGTGGCTGCAGCTGCTTATGGGATTTCAGCCAAGCTGGAGCACATTTCTGTGGCTCCCTGGACTCACACGCAGTTAAGGGCTGCAAACCTTCCCAGGACAGTGGTGGCTCCCGCAGTGTTTCCAAGACCCCTGGGCAGCTCCCTGTCATGGCTGCATGGTGCAAAGCCCTTCCCTACCCCCAGCCTCTCCACGCACTGACCTTGACCTCAATACCATAATCCACCCCAGCACAAGCAATTGCAGAGTTTGGCGGGTCACCTGGGGATATATCCATTATTTTTCCCAGCTATGCTGAAATCAGTGTGATAGGGCTGACTGCTCTAAGGGTGGTCTGGGAAGGAAAAGTTGCCTGCTGGATTCTCTTCCAGCCCTGGAGATAAGCAGTCACATCCCCATCCAGTGTTTGATGGATCTCCTACATCCACAGTGCTGGAAAGATGCAGGCTTTTTTTCAATCAAGAGATGCTTCTCTGGCTGCCAGGAGGTGCTGGGTGAGCAAGCCCATCTCACACTGGCTGGACGGACACGGAGCTGTTTGACTGCAACAACCAAAAGACTTTTTTTTTTTTTTTTTTTTTGGGGGGGGGGTCTAACACTGGCTAGCAGCTGTGTTGTTCATAAAATGAATGCAGCCCTTAACGAAGCTAGAGGGAAAAAACAGTGAGAGGCTGTGTCTGCCTGTCTGCTGCAAGGGGAGCGGTGGGGAGGGACTAAGCTCTTTAAAATACCCTGACATCCTTTCTCTCGGTTATTTAAACACTAGATATTGCAGTTATCAGCTCACAACATAAAGCTTGGCTTCAGGGGGAGAACTAAATCCACATGCTGAAACAGCTGTTCATATAGGCAGACCTGCAGGGAGAGAATTGCATGAAGTATAGAATAGGGAGGAAAAGAAAGAAAATAAAAAGCAAAAATAAAAAATAAAGGCAGGCCCACACACATATTACACAGAGAAGGAGGAGAAAAATTTGCTGTGCTGAAAAGGAGCAAATACGCTAGCAGTGCGCCAAGGACTACGACAGAGACACTGCCCAAACAGCAAAAACAGGCGGGAAGAGGATTCCAGCACTGTAGAGAAAAATAAGCAGCTTTGCTATAAACTGTTTTTGCTCCAGTTCAGTCCGTCACTTGCAATATGTGACCTTAATCACAAATGCCCCAAACATCTGGGTTAAAGTTTCCAGCTGTTTACTCTGCAGAGACTTTTAAAAAGGAAATTACATCCTTCAGCGCAAAAGTCCCATTGCATCAGCATGCTGTTTGTCACCTCCTCTTCCACTGCAGCTCTGCAAGCATAGAGAGGGAGAAAAATATGCTGAGATTTAGGCAGATTATTTCATAGCAAATGTTGAGAAATGTTGAGGTGGAAATTACTCCAATTTCGGCAGTTAGGATGCAAGAAAGGCAGGACTGCAGATGAGGAGCTATATCTCCTTTTAAGAGCGGACCACCCATCTTCTGAACTGTCCTTGAGGCTTTCTGGACAGGTACATGCTGTTCCTCACCAAGCAAATGCTTTTTGTTTCAAAGCTGACATTTACATTGGTCCTAGCAACTGAGAGCCATCAAGAAGAGCTAGCAGACTTCTGTGCTGCAAGGATTGGATGTGTTCCTCCTTGTTAAACAAAAATTGACTGCTTAGGGCTGACAGGCACACCATGGTACCATTGCGGAAGGAATGATTTAGCCATTCTCAGAAGAGCTCAGCCAAGAACATCCCTTTACCCTTCTTTTGTAAGATGAGCTGGCACTGGTTCCTTCAGTTTTCATTGGCACAGGCTGTGGTTAACCAGATCAAGCTTTTTGCTTCCAATCTGCTGAATAAGCACATTCAGCAGAACCTGTGCCCAGGCATGCCAAATATTTGCTTTTGACTCTTCATTTTTACATATATATATATATTTGAGATGAGGGAAGGAAAAGCCCAAAATCATCCCAGAAAATCCACAAAGCCGCTTATCCCTGAAAGCCCCATCCCCAAGGAATGAACACCACATTCTTACCAAGGTTTCCATCCAGAAAGGAAAGTCAAGACACTTTGGTGACTGGGCTCTGTTGTTTGCTATCCTATTCCCTGTGCTGAGCAACAGTCCTCCCCAGCATCCCTTCAGCACATGGAAGGGATCTTCCCAAACCTCCCAGAGATGGTCATCAGCCAAGGGAAGCCTATGTCCTTGGGAACAATAAACACTCTTTAACAGGAAATCAACTCAAAGCAAATAACACTTAAGGTGAGCAGAAGGATCTACCAGCACTCAGACTGACATTAGAAGGGAAAACTGCACTTCTGCATAAAATAAAACAAGGCCTTAATTCTTTCTTGCAGGTATAGATTTTCCTCATATTTTGGGAGTCCTTTCAAGACTTATGTGAGAGGACTGTTACCCCTTTCTGTCTCTGAAGGTAGCAGTTCGATTCTTGCAAGAGGTCAACCAGTCTTTAGAAATGTAGTAACAGAGATAGTGAGAAGAAAATAAAATTAATTGCAACAAAGGGTGAGAAGGAATATATTCCTGTGGAAAAAGGCCACTATATTCATACTGGGAATGACACAAGACTTTGCAAAGTTACAAATTTATTTGTTTTGAAATAAATACAAATACTTCATTAAGAAACTTTTCTTGATAGACTTTACACAATAGCTTTATTCTTTCTGAAAATTGTCTGTTCTTCCCACAAGTCATTATGGATATTCTACACAAGAGCTGAAGTTAGTAGTAAAGTAATGGAGATGGTGTTCTTCTGAATAAGCAAACCCAAAGTACTAACATTTGCTATTTAACTGCTCGGTGTTTGTGTTTTCATGTTTGTGAGAGGACTGCAATGCTGCAAGTATGCACTGGAGCCCAGGACAACCTGTCCCACTACATATAGAAGGACAAACTGAAGACCACCCAGCTGTGACAATCTGACTGGTAGAGAGGTATCAAGCCACTAGCATCCAAAATAAAAGTAGACCAGGATAGCAGGAGGCCACAAAGATGAAGAACTATTAAACACAATATTTCTCAGTTACAACTTTGTTGGTTCCATCACTTTTGAGAAACACACTGCTCAGCACCAGCAAGTCTAATCAGAGTCCCCAATCTGGTAATTAGTGGCAGTTGAATTTACAATATCTAATTACACACCATCCTACAGTTACTCATCTCTCTTGTCGAAGAACAGCTGGATCTGGCTTTGCTTACTGAATTCTAGATTTATGATTACAATTGTGCTGGACACAAGTCGCAAAGATAAGAAGCTGTCTGAAGTAGAAATCAAGCCGCTCCTGCTTTGCTGGCATGTTACAGCTACTCTATTTGTTAAAACTACGCCAACACTCGCGATGTTGTAAATCCTTTGGCCCAAGATCCCCAGAAGGAAGTGCTACCTCGCTTACAACACTTAAATCTTGCCCTCTTTTGTCTAAGCAGGTTTTTTTGTTTGGGGAGGGGAAAAGGAGGATTGGAACTAAATCTCCAGAAAGTGAAATAAAAAAAGCATAAAGATTTAGTTCGTCTCAAAGTCACATTGAAATTGCCTATTTTAGTATTATATTATTGTACATAGGAAAACAGGCTTGAATACTAATTAATTAGAAGGCCTATAAATGCACGATACATTAACTTCTCTATCATTTGAAGTCAAGCTATATACAGTGAATTCAACTCCTTCAACATGAGGCCATAACATATTTTTGTCTCCCTTTTAAAAGAAGCCATCCACAATAGTGATTTTTCTCCCCCCTCTAAAACTCATCTCAAATTGTGCCAGTTTACTTCAAGAGAATAAGAGATAAAGGGGCATGTAATGGTTTTGATTTTAAAGGAGGATATTAAACGAGTCTGCTTTGACTCTGAAGTGTTTACAACCACATCAACTTTTGGCAAGTATCCCTTAGAATTTGGCATCCATTGAAGGAGGGTACAATAGCAGCAACTGTCTGAGTTAGGAGATAGAGCAAATGAGATGCCTCTTTTCTTTGGTCCCTGTCAGACCCTGGTGAACAGAGTTCATCCTACGGAAAAAGCTCAAGATTAATACCAGTTATGCTTTGTGATACACGGGGGGTATCCGTTAATATTCCCAAGTGCGATCAGTTTAACCACCCGCACACGCTTAACACGAGACCTCCATGGACTTGGGGCTTGATTGTTCGGCGTTGCTCGCGGAGTTCGGCGTCAGCTCGATGCGCGTGTCTGTGTGCGAGCGGTTCCTGGCCCCGTCGCCAGTGTGGGACCGGCTCCTCGTGCCCTCCCCAGTGTGAGACCGGCTCCTTGTGCCTTCCCCAGTGTGAGACCGGCTCCTGGTGCCTTCCAAAGAGGTTACGCTGGAGCCGGACGCCGTACGGGACCTCATCAGCCTAGTCATGCTGGCAGAGGGGACTGAAAGGAGGGCCTTTTATTAACATCTTGTTTCATAAGCATGAAAGGAAGCCCCACCATTGCCTCCAACCCTAACCACCCTTGGAGAAGCCTTTGGGGTAAAATGTAGTTTTCGGGCTAGCCTGATGTGTAGACGCACTCCTGCTCCAGGCAGTCAAGGAGGTCAAATCACTCTGGCAGAGGGATCCGGGACAGAACTATGGTATGTCACTGAGGCTTCAACAAGCCAGAAGACCAAACTCATTAGAAAGTGACTCATTAGACTTTGCCTTACTCTCAGGAGCTTAATCTTTTCTGGCAGTGCAGGCAGGAAGGCGCCTATACAACAGCAGAGGTCACAAGCACACATATGAAATATAGACAGCTACAGGTTAGAGAGGTCTCACAGCTAATGAGGCCTGCAATGAGCAGTGTATGAATCATCCCCCTTGATGCAATATGGAGATAGTCTTACAAATATCCACTCAGAGTGTGGAGACAAAGTAACACAGATATTTGTGGGCATAGGACAACATGCATGGTTTTCATGACATATAAAAACCCACATAAGCGCCTGACTTTTGTAGAGCCCAGTCTGGTTAGCAAGCTAGTCTAAGTTTGGCACAGAAAGGGACAATTATTTCTAGATTCAGCTTGAAAGTGGTCAACATTGTGCAAAATTAACTTCCAAACTCTACAGAGCAAAATGGAACATGCCAAATGTTCCATTTTGGCATGTGGCAGTGCAAACACTGCAGCTCAGAAATAATACAATACTATCCATGTTGCAGGCTCAAGTCAGGCTACACACCTAGAGACAGATATTCTGTGACTTTAACAAGTCCTGCCTACTGCACTCTTTGAAATAAAGCAGTTTTATTTCATGACATCTTCATAGGAACTTTACCTTCCATGGTCATTAAAGAATTTACAGGCTAGGATGTATATTATGTTCACCAGAAAACACAAATTTAACTAAGTGCCTGGAAATCACACACACAAGAATATCTTCAGTCTCACATTAGAGAACTACTTGCTGATATAAGACTATCTACAAAGCTCTCCATTACTTAATAACACCACCTGGCCTGCAAACTCTTTCTTCACACACCATAGGTATTTTGTCCTATTGCAACCACATAGCTGTCAGGGAAAAGAAAAATAGGGTATGCCTGGGATCAGAATTTCTGATTAGATTAGATTCACATAAAGTTTTGACAGCTGTATGAAAAAAATACACAAAACTCATACTTACTGTAGCCCATTCCCTGAACAAAATATTTGAAGGCTTCTGCAAGTTTTGCAGGCTGCAAAAGAGAAGTATTTTTTAATATATGCAGCACTCAGCAAGTTACATTGCCACCTAAGAGAGACCACATATGCCTATGGTACCTTAAACAGTCTCTGAATTTTGCTGAATTTTTCTAAAATTTCATTTACAAAGAAGAAAATTCCAAGGAAATTTTGGAGAATAAGATTACTTGGAGAAACAACTGCAAGTGGCCTAAGCCCAGCCCAAGTTTTGCTAATGCAGTTACTGAGGCAGAAGAGCCAAAGTAAAACAACCGACCTCACAAAATATACAAGGCAGTTTGTACGGGTCAGTAATTTGGCAATTCCTAATCAGTAGAGAACAAATTCAGCTATTCCAAGCTGATAGTTATGTTTTTAGGGCAACAAAAAGCTACGCAGTAATACGCAAGCACAATTACATGACTGATGTTCTTGAAATGCACCCTTTTTTGGTCCTACTCTCACAGCAGCCAAATAACTCCCAATTTCAATTACTGAACTTGCAAATGGTGCTTATATTTTGGTATAATTTTATGTGAACCACTACAAGGAATGGAATATCTAGAGCAGAGATGCAATGCACATTCTTGCATGTTTTTTAAAAAGCCTTTCCTCCAGTGCTAACACTCTAAGAGAGCAGATAGCTGGCACAAACACTTCTGCTGCAGGAATATGCAAACTTTTTTCCTTAAATTCTAGAATTCCCACTCTATTGCTTATAAGTCAGATTATAAAATTCTACATACAGTTACCTAAAGTTAATTTTCATATCAGATATTTTGGTGAAGAAATACTAGAGCACAGGTAAGTTTAACTCCCCTCTACTGTTTTTTTTGCTACCAGCCTGGCAATTTATGTTTAAGCATATTTCAGAAACTCCAGTTCATTCTCAGCCAAGCCAGGTTAGTGCATGCAAAAACATAGTGCAGTTATTTCCTGCCTCCGACTTTCCTAACCTATCCTAAAAATAGCCCAAATAAGAATATGTTTTTAAAATGCTTGTGCACAAACCTTAATTTGTGTTAGCATAGTAGATAAGCATAAAATAGTATCTACATGTTCCCACCTCAGATCTTTACTTAGTTAATGCTTAATTAGATGGAAATTTTATTCCTTTGGAATCTAAATTTTGTGCTTCATTGGTTTTAAAGAAAAGGAGCTCAAATGACCAACTGACATCATGATTGGTGAAATCATAACTATTCTTTTGGCTGACTTTTGGGAACAGCAAGTACCCCAGAGGAAAACACCCATTTGCTGGAGGCCGACAAGCTGCGGCACAGGATTGGGAGGATTTCCGTGGGTCAAATTGTACCTGGGAAACTTGAGGGAGCCCACCACAGTCAGCCATCTGAAACGGGAAGAAGAACAGCAGGTTAGTGCAATGCCAGAAGAACTCATTTAAGCTCAGGATATATTCAAATGACCTTTCTGGATATCTGGCACAAGAATGTTTCCTTTAGTTGTCTGAATAACTACATAGATCAAAGCACCTAACCAAGTAGTGAAAGGTCTAAAAAAGCGAGGACTACACCCCAGAAATCCCAGAAGTCTTTCAACCCTCAGGCAGAGCCAGTCAGAGCTACAAATAAATGTTTTTGCTAGGAATTGATTACCAGTTTCTTAGAAACCAAACTATTAGTCCTGGCTAGGGGTTTCAATTCTGAATTGCAATAGTGTGATAAGGTATTGAATAACCCGACAAACTGGTGAGAGAACAAACACCTAAGTGCTGGACGTGAGAGGGAAATACAGCAAGAAACAGTCAGAGCTGCCAAGAGAAGCAGGGAAAGCCGAATTAGAAAAGCCAACTTGAGTGCATGCAATATTTTTGGAGCATTTCACTTTTCCTGCCACCCCACCCCACAAAGTCAACCCAACAAAAACAGTTCTGTTCCAAGGGACACCACAAGCTGAAAACAGTAGACTTGAGAATTACAGGAAACCCCAAATCCTATCTAGGATTAGCTAGCAGCAAAACAGTCCTGTAGCAATGTCTGGCATCTGCTATATCCTCAGATTGAGCAAAGGCTGGCCACCACAAGAGCATGTGAGATAGTGTCATATCCTTTTTCCATGGGGCGAGTCTGCCATTTCTGTGTTGTAGGTAACTTCTCAGCGTTAGGACCATAAAAGCATTCAAAAAGCCCACTGCTTATTAACATTTAACAGTTTAATAACTGAATCCTAGAGGCATGCACTAGACATTCCCAGGGGAAGCATGAGCAAAGTAGTTTCACCATTTGTGGGGTATTACACTCATTACATCTTACTTCATTAGTAATGAACTGAAGACTGGATCCACACTCTGAATATCAAGTGTCAGCTAAAGCATTTGCAGGGCACTTTGCTGTTTTGAAAACCATTTTATCAACTTTACAGAAAATATTTTACTTATCTTGGAGTGTATTTGTGTCAGAGACATGAGATGAAAAAGCCACAGTTGATGTATCAGCTATCTATTCATCTTACCCTCTTGTTGAGAGAAAGGCAGGCACAGAAACAGAATGATTTGGTTTGCATTTCCAGTCTGCTGAAGGCTTTTTCAAACCTTTCCAAATACCTCGAGATCAACTTTGCCAGCTCTAGTCAAATTCATTATGGGTATGTGAAATAGCCAGCATTTCATGTCTCACTTCTAGTGTTTTAAAATGATGGAGCTGGAAAATTCCCTGTTGTTAAACAGGGACAAAAAGCCCCCAGATTAGGTAAGAGTATTCTAGTGGGATGAACCAAAGGAATTACCCTTCCAAATCACAATAGTTCAGACTAAGCTCCCATACTTCCCTTAATCTCCAACTTCTCTGACCAGTTTACTGGTACTTGGTGACATTAGCCTGCTTCTGCTCTTACTTGATCTGACTGATTTTAAACAAGGGGAACATTTTACTGTAAAAACCAGCTTTTGCTATTACCTTCAGAAGTGTAGTCTTTGTTGGGTCCAGCTTTGAGTTGCATTCAACCTGCATTGGAGAAAAGCAGCATGAGGCATCAAACACAGATGATATTTATCAGTTATTAGATTAAAATGGAAGAAATATCATATTTTCAGGCTTAGTATGAACTAAACTGTCGACATTAGGCTTGTCAATAAAGATTCTTTAAGCATACATATATACAGATGGAAAACCAAGTTCAGATATCTGACCATATTCTTTTTCATATGAAAAGACACTATATGGGAATTAGAGGGGTTTTTAGTGTGTTGGTGGGCTCTCCTGGCAAAAAGTGTTTCTTATCTCATGATTTGAGCTTATATGATAGACTGCCAAGTGGTTAAGCAGCCATATGGCCAGTGACGAGGAGCCTGGCCATGCCCATTCAGGCATAGCATCTGAAGTCATCACATCCAAGGCTGGTTATAATGGTCAAAAAGAAGCTTCTCGCTTCCACAGAGACCCTGGGCAGAACTCCAACACCACAGAACAAGCTAAAATGCCAGCAACAGATCCCTCTCTAAAGGAAAATATTTGCGGTTCAGTGGAACTGCTGGGGCGATTGCTCCTAACACGGCAGCTATTAAATAGTGGCAGGCAGGCGAAGGGTACAAAATGCTCAGAATAATGGCATCTCTCCCATGGTCTGAGAGAGCAGAGTCATCTGGGCTGGATCCATAGCCTCAGCCTGCCAAGCTCATGCAGCCTCCTGGGTTGTATACAGGTTAAACTCAACAGTGAAGAGTACACTGCTATGGATTGCTCCATGTACACACCACAGCATCCACAGCCGGGGAGCTGTCACCAACCACCAGAAGCACAGGGCACCTGCAAGGAAATAACAAAATGGGTGTTATTTCTGTGAGCCAGCCCAAAGTTTTACTAACCTTCATTCCAGAGCTTTTCACAGTCTACTGACACTCTTGTACCCTATACTAGGACCTGCTCTTTTCCTGACTTCTTGGCAATCATGCCTTCTTGTGCCCATATGCCTTGTTTCATGCCTTGATGAATGTAGGTAGGCATCAGCATCAAAATCTCATTCCCCCGTTGCCTTCAACTTTTGGACCTGCTAGATGAGTTGATCCAGTTTGGCAGAAAAGCAGAGTCAATGTCCCGTGTGGGCAGAGGGAAAGTGGGACTTGAAAGTGGTTTTGTGGTGAGAGTGCAGCAAAAGTGAAAGGTTAGATACCAGAAAACCTGATAGGTAACTATTCCATATCTGCTTAATCTGCATTAAATTTGGGGGTTTTCTGTAGTTCATATTACATTTCTTGGTTGCATAGATATAGCTACAGGCACTCAAGGCTATAAGTTTCCTTAACTAGGACAGATCTCCAGGTTAAGCTAAGTGTATCTACTTTTCAAACAGTAAGTTCTCCAAGCCCAAATTTGCAGACACACAGCAAGTGACAGGCACTATTTAACTTCATGTTTGCAGAGGGAAAGTCTTCCTAACAGAGTCCATGACTTACAGGAACCTCTATTTCCTAGAGTAAATTTCAAGAGCTTTTGCTAGTACATAAGCACAGTAATTCAGCTACAGTTCTGGAGTGTGCATGTAATACATCCACAGGTTGAGACTCTTAGATAATATCACATACAGGTGAACAGGCAGGAAACATAGTACTTACTGCAGGGTGACAACATTTATACCAGGAACAGGCCTCTCAATCTCTAGATCTCGACGACTTAAAAAAAATAGAAGAAAAGTTTTTGGTACACTTAAAATTTAGAAATACTTCCATATTCATCCATTTCAGAGAAAGCAAACATTCACATGTTAATCTCATATTAGCCTCCAGAGCTGATGGATAACCAGTTTTAGCCTGAAACTAATATCATTTTCTTCATCCAGTCCAAGTCTACCTCTTCCCTCACACTGCACAAGGACGTTCTCCCACAAGCAAACACCCAAGATGCCTAAGGTACTGTCAGGTCAGACTTATGTTGGAGGAAAACAACTCCATCACAAGCAATATTGAATCAAAGGTCTGGACAACATCTTCAAACAGTTTTCAGTTAATAATCAGATAAATGTATTTACCTGTTGTAGGAATTGACAAAGAGATGAAGGTTGTTTTGATTCATGTCATTAATAATATGTTGACGGTAAGTATGGATCAGGTCATGGTTGCTGTGAATCTCATCCTACAGTGGAGACAGAATGGTTCAGAATAGGTTCTATTTTCTGCAAGGACCTGAAGACATGGCAAGCAGTTATCTATCAGACTCATATCTATTCGGCAGGAGTGTATCTTTAAGGAAGTGACAATTCACACTCTGTGGCATTACCCAGAATTAACATTTTTCCCAATTTCCATACTGCTTTTTTTGGTTCATGGCTTCAGTACATTGTAACATCAAGACCTTAGAATTGCAAAACATGGAGTTGTAGTGCAGATGTTTGCATTCAAGTACATGTGAGGTTTTAAAAGCAGAAAAAGTTCAGAGAAACAAGTTCAATACCCGCTTTTAGGATGAATCAGATGCTTAAAGCTTATGAACACATGTGGAACTCAGTTTCACAATAGTAAATAACTAAGCTTCAAGGACTTAAATCACTGACATTTTCAAGAAGCTTGTTACTACAGCCTTTATAGATTAGTTCCTTGTTCTGTTGTGTTATTTTCCATTACATCCACTAACAGTTTCAAGCAAAGCAATGTAGCCTTAGGAAATAGTAGAGCACTTCCTATTGAAGTAGACTTATGCTAAAAAGCATAATTTATGAATAACTAGTTCTTCCAGAGTTACAAGTATATTACACTATAAAACTTGGTGGGCATATTCTCCCTAGACCCTGAGGACATATCATGCCTATTGTTGTCTATGTATCAGCTATCTAAACAGGTTATCTCTACGTGGGTTGCCATGACTGAGGTGCACAACAAACCCCACTGCAACACACCAGTTCTGAAGTACTAGGAACACTATCACTAACCCAAACTTCAAGTCTAACTTTGTGTTTTAGTGCTAAAGGGAAGCTCTCTCCCCTTCTCCCAGCTTCAGGAGGTAAATATAGATGATTGAATATGCAAGAGGAACATTTTGAATGTGCTTACCTTTCCAAAAAGATGTGAAATGACCATGTCTGGTAAAGCATTTGTCCAACCTGAAATCTGAACAGTGAGATTTAAGTATTTGATATGAAAACAATCCTTGAGCAAGAGAAGACTTACTATCTATAATTAAACAAATAGATGTTCTTACATGTGCAATATACTGGATTGACAATTCCCTCCCTAATCTAGCTGTAGTATTAGGCATTGCTTATGTCTGAGTTGTTCTCATAGGATGTATTTACTACTGCAGCTATGCAGGGAACACATTATTAGCAGTATATACACAAATGAAATTTCTCCCTGCGAGAACACTGGGTAATCCAGCCAGATACATATAATTTACTCAAATGTTCCATTTCCTCCCTACAACCCATATGGACAATATTTTGGAGACAGTACCTAAGGGACATGGAGCTCATGTCCCAAAACACGTTCTGGTTTTGTAAGGACAGAATGATACAAGACACCAGTTTTAGACTTAGGGTTGGCAGTGCCTAAGTGCCTGCATAGATGAAAGGCAGAAGCAGGGATATGAAAGAATTTAAATAAAGTGAGATATTGGAAGAGGTAACCAAAACAAGCCTCATGAGAGGCTCATTGTAGAAGACTTACTAAATATACTTCTGGATGAACTAAACTTACCAAAACAATCTGGTATGCAAGATTGTTAAAGAGGTTTGAAACAATTCTGCATCCCTGCTCTGGAAAGTTTCTCTTACTGTTATGAGGTTTTCATAATAAATATCATTCTATACACTTTCAGTGTGTTTTCTCTCACTGTGTGTGTGGTGGGGGGCTTAAAAAGATGACCATGTAATTTGGGGCTTTTTTTTTTTTTTAATCTATCACAACTGCTATTCACTTGGACATGAGCCAGAGTGTCACAAAGTCTTCCATTACCTTATTCTGATATATCTAGCCTATCAAAGCACTTAAGTGACATTTAATGTATTAAAACACTTAAATGACAAGTAATAACACATTCACACACAGGTTCCAAGGATTTTTTTTAAAGTGCTTTACCACATTGTAGGATTACAACTGCAAATAAATGTAGTTAACAGGAACCTTTTTGTACATGAGCTTTCATTTAATTCTAGGCAGACTGTTCATAGCTGCTGCAGCCAATGCTGTTTTCAGTCTTTTAGCATCTAAGGCTCAGATGGATCAGTAAAACCTGGACTAATTTGTTTTGAACATTTTTCAGTGCTCCAGTTCACATTTTGAACTGTGTTGATAAACAAAGCCACAGCAAAGAATTGAAAGCTTTAAATTTACTTGAAAGAAGGCTATTTCCAAATCTATATTGTGTTCTGGGTCAAATTAGGTTTTCCCCCCTGCCCCCCGGCAAAGTCACAAGCTCCTATAAATTGTAGCCATACCCTGTAGTCTCATTGTACCATGGATATCCATTTCTTAGAAGTACTTAATTTCATGGCTAGCCCTACTAGCTAGTGATGCAGGTAGATGTGTAAATACAAGAGTAGACTCAAAAGGAATTGGCAATATTTTCCATCTGCAGCCATTCCTTAATGCACAAACTTGCCCAGCTTCTCATGCTCAGCAGGTTCATGGTATGACTGACTTCTTTAGCTTAAAAGTGTTTACCTTAGTTGCTGCCCAGTCCATCCAGCCCTCAGCACAGGGGTTTACATTAATGAGAACTAATCCTTCCACCATATCCGAGTGGTTTAACTGGAGCGGCGGGGGAGGGGAGGAAGAAAAGAAGAAAAAAATTAAGATCTATCACATATCCTCTGCAATCTGCCAGTCAGCATAAAGTTTAAATTAGCAAATCATCTCCTAGGAACAGAGGTGGCAGGTTTAGTTGTCTTGTATAAAACAAGCATATGTATGGGGAAAAAAATCTTCATTAAAGCAATTCAGCCAGCAGCTGGAGAACATTAAGATTTAACTTCTCCACCCTCAGTTTAAATAGAGAACTCCCATTAAAAAAACCTTCTGCAGATGAACTGGGCAGAGCCCAGGCCTTAAAATGGAAAGTCTAGATCTCCCGGATGAGCTATCCCGCAGCTCATGGTATTTCACTCAAAGTCCAAACAGCATAAGCTAGGGGGGCCGCAGCACATCCGGTAAACTAAATTTGAGAAAGCTCAAGGAAGCTTACAGCAAATCGAGTTAAGATGTAGGCACCTGCTCCTGTTCCCATTCCAATAATGCTCTTCAGCCTGCACAGAAATACAAGAGAAGAGAGAAATCCTTAAGAGCACTGAAAACAAATACATCTCCCACCATTGTCAGCCTTCCTCTTTCAAGTTTATCTTGCAACAGGCCACTTCAGTGGCTGGGTGGCTTCATGGGATGCAGACTCTCATGCAGTGCTGTGCAGCAGTAATTTTAGCTTATCTTAAGGAAAATACACTGAGCAACTCTAGTGGAAGGGTTAGGGTTCCCTGAGTGCTGCTTGCCTGCAAAATGTAGAAGACACTTGTGAAATCTTGACTGTAAATACAAAGCCCCCATCCCCAGCCTGCCCCTGCCCTCCACGGTGCAGACACCAACTGCTGTCTCCGATCCCTAGAGAGGAGAGCTGGCATGGAAAGCTCTCACCCCATCCAGCCACCATGCTGATTAAGTTTAAACTGCATAACTAAACAGGGCAGAGACAAGGCAAACATTTGCATTAACTATGATTGGTTTTAAAGCATCAGCTCCAAGGCTTTAGAAAATAAATGGAAGACTGGACAAAACTGCTGAGACGGGAAAAAAGTCTACACAATGCTTTTAGGAAAATATCTGAAGATAGATTTCATGTCTATAAGTACCTCAAGGGAGGCAGCAAGGAAGATGGTGCTGGCCTCTTTTCACTAGTGGCCACCAACAGAACTAGAGGTAATGACCACCAACTGAAACACCAAAAGTTCCACAGGAATCTAAGAAAAAATTTCTTAACAGTGAGGGTGACAAAGCACTGGAACAGGCTGCCCAGAGAGGTTGTGGAGTCTCCTTCTCTGGAGACCTTCAAAACCCCCTTGGATGCCACCCTGTGCCACGTGATCTAGGTGACCCTGCTTGTGCAGGGGGGTTGGACTAGATGATCTCTAGAGGTCCCTTCCAACCTTAAGCATTCTATGATTCTGTGATTCTCATTAGCAGTATTAAAGCTAGGTTTTGGAAGCTCCCTTCAGTTAAACAGATTTTCTGTTTAGGTACTGACATTATTATAGCATTTTTCCCCCACCAAACAAGAAAATAATTTGTAATATCATTGACCTTATACTAAGTAGTAAAAATATAAACAAACAAAAATAAAACCTGTTTTGAGAAGATAGTGCAAATGCTGGGTGGCACAGAGTATATCTAGATCTGGCCTTAACTCAGACACTAGTCTGAAAGTAAAACCACAGTCAACAAGCCTATCTAGGCTGCCTTGCCTTGAATTCCAGGTTTTCTCTGCTTAACCTGAAAACTCCTTGGGTGCTATTGGGAACATTTATTCTGGGCACACAGGCACCTTTCTCACCTCCTGCTCAAGCTAAGCTTTAAAGCAGGATCTACCTAAACTTGTTGTGAACCTCTCACCTTTGACACCAGGGCAGACCACAATCTAGCATCTGCTGTTGGGTCCCTCCACTTCGGGAGGCAGGAGTGACCTCTGAGGACACTCAAACAATACACTAAGTGTCTTTGGATGGGAACAGTTCGCTGACCGCACAGGAAAAGCAGGCTGCCAAAGCAGGAGGAACAGACTGCCAGGGCATGGCCTGTCAGGGCTACACACAGAAAATGCTGGAGGAAGCCCCTAAACTAGGCACATGGGATTCCAACCTAAATTGCTTCCCGTTTAAAAATAAACAGACATCTCTGGGGGGGGAAAAAATAACCCCTGTTGGATGCACAGGCAAAAGCAGTCCAACCATACTGGGGAAAGATGGGGAGAGCTGGAAAAACAACAGTAGCTAATTCTATTGAACAAAATGCTGGGCAGCCAGAGCAAAGCTGCAGGTACTTAAGAGCACCAGCTATTCCCTGATCTCTGCTGTGCCACACTTTTTGATGCTGTTTTAGAACTGCATCAAGACAAGAAAACTCAGTAAAATAAGAATTCTGCACTCACCCAAACTGTTTCAGGATTCCAGGAAGCATTTCAGCCAGCTGATCCATGGAGGGGTATACATACCTACAACAAATACGTATTTTTGAGTTTGCTACACCACTTTCAGTGGACTGGTACATTTAGGGACATACTGGTCACCCTAAATTTAATACCAAATGTGTTCCTTATCAGAGCAGTAACAGTATGAACTAAATTCAAATCAAGAGCAAATCCTAATGAGTGATTTAGCAGAAGTGTGACTGTATTCAAGATGGGTACTTTATGTGCATTACAGGATGGCAGATGTCTGTTCCAGCTGAAGGCAAAAGAGACTAAAATGAGCCTCTTCCAAAAAACGTTAACCCTTCACAACTTATGAACAAATTCGGATATGTGAATAATATGGACTTCAGAGGATCATTCCCAGCCCCATGCACCATATTTATACTTCTGATCCACCATAGAAAAAGTTTAATGAGATTGGAGAATGACAGACTTGAAAGATCTTTTGTAAATAACTTGCATGCTTGTTTTCAGGCACAGACAAGGTCCTATAGCTTTAAAATGAGGAGAGCTTTCCATTAGCATTGCTGGAGAAAATTAAGTCATAGGCAAAGCTATGAAGCTGTTGAAGTTCTACAAAAACAGCCGTAAATCAATGCTTCTGCTCATCTGCAGAGCAGAAAATTTTCATGGGAGGAATTTTGAACAAATCCCAATGGAGCAGCAAAAGGGAAAAAGAAAATCACCCTGAAGTACTTGGAGAACATCTGCTCAGGAGGTATCAATCTGTTTCACATCATGATTTGGATAAAAGCAGTCTTTTTTTTCCTCCCTACACCTACTTAAGCACCCTAGCCTTAAACTTTTATCATGAGTAAGTATTTTTACAGAATTCCTGACTTGAATGAAAACTAAGTTCAGAGAGAAACCAGCTCTGAAGCTTTGGAGTTAATTCTTCATTGGGAACCAATTCCAAAGCAGTGGCTAGAGAAGAGTATGTCAAAAAATGATGTCAGCTTCACAATCAATCATCTTTATTTTCTACACTTTGTCTTTCAGGACTGATTTACTACTATCTCTGACAATCTTCAAACAGAAAAAGAGACAGAGCTGGGGAAAAAGGAGATCAAAAGTACAGAGAAATTTTAGGTATAGTCTACACATTCCAAGAAAGAGCAGCAAATTATTTTAAGCTCTTCTCTTAGTATTCGCTGTTGGAAAACTAAACTCTGTCCTGACAAAAGCCCAGATAGCTCAGGGAGAGCACAACTCTCTGTGATACCATGATGCTGCCATTAAGTGATGGACTTTACTAGAACAGACCATAATAGTTGCCCTAGAATGTGGTAAGAAGTGTTAATATCCATATTTTGGACAGGTGTTCTGACATTTAATTCAAACAAATTCAAAGGGGAGTGACAGAAAAAGCTTTGCCTGCCCTGCTAGTAGAAAACTGGGCCACTCTTGTTAACACAAGCCAAGAACCTGGCCCATGGTGACCTCCGTAGCATCAGACCAGCTTAGAAATTAAGGAGGGAAATAGAATAGCACATGCCATAGGACTACCTATAAGCTCCTTAATACCTAGTTCTTATAGAACAACTGTTCCTTGCCTTGGCTCACTGGCTGCTCCCTTCGTCAGGGGACATGAACCTATCCAAGGGTCATCTTACGGCAAACCTGTCACATTTGACTAAACAGGGCATGCATTTTGGCCAGGCTCATGGCCATGACACAAAACTTCCAAGATGTGGCATCATATGTTACATGCACTCAGGAGTGTGCAGATATTTATGATAGGTGGAGGAACATCACTTTGTTATAATTAGGTGACTTGGACTTCCCACGTAACTTATCAGTTTTATTCCTCAGTGTCTTCCATTCTGCCCTTTAATAAAAATTCCAGACTTACAAAAGACGCTGTTTAGCGGCTAATGATCCACTTGCTTTTTGGGTCAATTTAACTCTGTATTTGCACTAAAAAATCAAATCATTAAAACAAGGTGACCTTATTTAAAGTGGCACCTGTCAAGGAATTGTTTTTTAAGCAGTCTAGCCAGAGATTAAACATGAAATTATAGCCCCAGAGTCTACTGTGAACTGCCAAAACACAACAGGGCTCCAGTAACTTAGAAATGTGGAGCCTCAGGATTTAAGTTCAGAGCCAACTTGTGTTTTCTTTCAAGTGCTTTTTAATTAAACTGCAGATCGAGACTCTTCTTCCAACCACAGCAAGGGGATAGCTGTGAAAGCAGAGGCTGTTTCCCTGTCAACTCACCCAGCTGGGAAGGATGCTGCTCCATCCTGCTGCCCAGGTGCATCCACATGGCAAACTGCAAAGTGCTGGGTGATCTCCTGCATATCCTCAAAGTTGAAGAGAGGATTGAAGCAAGTTTTATCTTAAAAAAGAAAAAAGAACAATTAAGCTCTTTCCTCATGGCCAGTTGACCTTTACTTAATAGTTCTTTTGGCATTTCGCAAAAGTATTTGCACGGTGTACCGAAGTCCCTAGGAATTCTTCTTTGTTCAAAGTTAAAACAGCAATAAGCCCAGTAAGGAGAATTCGCCCCAGGATTTGGCTTCGGTAATTTTCTTCTATTGACTTATCTAGTCATTTTTTCTTTGAGTTATGTCAAAACAGACGGAGAAAAAAGTATTCATCTCCAAGATGGAGACTTGTACTTTTGCCCAAGTATTACAAGATAAATATTACATTAGCAGCTGCTGCAGACAGCTCAAGACAAAAATGTCCAAATGTGATATTTAAGGCTTTAGGCCCAAAACTGAGATGATTTGATTGCTGGTGTTTAAGGAACATTAATGTGGGAGAGCATTATCACATTTTCTTCATGTAGAAGACATGAATTCTGTAGCACTTTAACAGACCTAGAAAACTGTTTAATATTGAATATATGTTTCTGAATTGCCTCATGCTATGCAAGTACAAGAAAAAATTATTAGAAATTATAGAACATTTTTAGCTAAAATTCCACACTAGTGGAACATGCAATTTCTTCCCATTTCAAAGAAGAACTTTTATTCATCATACCATTCACCAGATAGGCTTTGTATGTCTAAAGAAAAAAGTCTTAATGAAAGATTAGATCTAGATTAAGCCCTGCCCTAATCCACTGAAAATCCAAAATAAAGCAGGTCTACTAAAAATAGACAAGAAAACAGAGTCTGTCTTATGAATAATATCTTTTTTCTTCTCCAACAACTGAAATTCAGAGATCTGCAGGTGTTTTAAAGTTTTAATAACTGATTAAGGAACAGTGAATTATGAAAAGTAAGAAGTACCAGTGAAAAGAACAAACTGGAACAGATCTGGATACTAAGTTATTACTTTCTTGGATGAAGCAAAGCATAAAAAAAAAGACAAGTTAAGTAGTGACTGAGGATGCAATGCCCACATTCATTTAGTTTTTCCAATCTGCACGAGACAGACACCTAACTGTGGCATCTCCCTTGCAGCACAAGATTAATTATCTGAAGAACTGCAAGCCAAGAACCAGCATCTTGATCAGTCCTGCTGGAAACAGCCTCAGCCATCTCTTGTGGACATTTTTACAGCATTTTTAAGGTCACTAAAGACTGCCATGGATCCCTTTGCATCTTTAAGGGAAATTTTCTAATTAGTTACTTTGGAAAGGGGAGTTGGATAGGACGAGAAAAAAATTCAGAGAATTCAACCAGCTCTAAAAGGAGGATTAGGCTGGGAATGTCTCTATAGAAAAGACAGAAGTATCCAATATTTTGTACTGCACATTCATGAGCAAGGATCTATGAAAAAAATTAACCATAGTTGCTTCCATAGCTTACTTTGTTGTTGATTACAACAGTGGTTATAAATACCCCAATAAAAACGAAGACCAAGACCTAACCAAGAAGTCTACTTACGGTTCAGCCCAATGTCATGGTATGTGAGGATGGCAGGTCTGTTGCCCTTGGGAGTCCCACACATGGTGACATGGACAGAGCCATGCACAGTCTCCACATCTTGTTCCTGAAAAAAGGAAGAGGAAGCTGTCAGCTTCTGCCACAAGTGCTCAATTCAACCCTCACTGGAGACCTTTGATCTTCACTGTTGCTCACAGTGAGTATTGCAGCGCAGCTCAAAGAACGAAAAAATAAGCTCAGAAAATGTCAGGCTGCTGCAGCAGTTCAGAGAGGTTTTCTTGTGAGTATCAGTGTTGGATAGTTTCAAGATGTACTGGAGAGTCTGAGCAACTGGGGAATCACATCAAGGAGCTCAACTCAGCATGCATCTCATTCCTGTCTCTACCAGCTGTCCCCATAGTGCTATGTTCCCACCTGGGGTCAGCTCAGCGACTTCTCAGTTCCAGGGATTTCGGCAATTTCCCACCATGATGTGGGCTCCCTACACTCCCTCTATACACTCGCACCCTGATGCCCAGATGCTTTTTTATTTTTCCAGGATACCACCACCTTTAAACCACCCTGGGAAGCATTTTCCACACACCTCTCCTACTCCAAACCCCTGGCAGCTACAAAAGCACTTAAACTGCTAGCTCTGATCAGATGCAGAAAAAACAGTTTTAACCCTTGGTAAAGTCAGAATAAGACTGACCAGCTCTGTGTATTAACACCTACAACAAGGACAGCTCAGAACTACAGTATATGGTATCTGCAGAGGTACAAGCTGCTTCACAATAGAAAAAGCTTTGTTCTCCAGTATAAAGCCTTTAATTCAGCAAATAAATACTACTCCCCTAAAGAAGCCACTATTAAATAGCATGCATTTGTCACAGTTTTCACACTGTGGAGCCTTGCGTTAAATTTAGGGATGGCTGTTATGTAGGGCTAAGTGCAAAGGAGCAGTACAACCACAGTGTTTTTGGGATGACTGAGAAACAGCAAAAAAGCTACAGATTATGTTTGTTATAGTTAACGTTTGTTTTCTTGTTTAATGAATGTTAAATGTAAGAACACATGCGTTATTAAAGAACCCCTGACTAGTTTTATTTGTTGGATGTGTAAGCAAGTCAGGCGCTATTCAGCTGGTACCAACATCTAGAACATACAGAACAGTGCTCAATTCTTTTGTATATGTAAATTAAGCAACCTGCTGGACTGTCACGGGCGTGAAGGGAATCACAGCAGATGTGTTAGGCCCTTTTCTACCTTATTGTTACATTCACATGCAGTCAACTCAGAAGTCAAAGCAGTGCTAAGTCTTGGCAGTGTAGCAAGTCTTGGCACTTTGTGAGAACATTTCCATCCATGCATGACATTAAGTACAGCACTGTCTTCTACTGCTGGGCTTGCCTGGCTCGCCTCATGCTCTATTGTCCAGGGAGAAAGTCTAGGTTAGCTCCAAATCTTCAGAGATTCTGCAGAAGCCATGAGTATGCAACTCTGAACACCTTCACAGCAAAAAGACAGGAGTCCTTCTGGGCTCTGATCTAACTCCCAGCTTAGGGATTTGATACTTAAAATAGACCACCGATTTTGTTGTAAATAAGAATGTTAGGCAACACCATTCCACAATACACCTATTTTTCTTGCAATTGCACATTTACATCTGTTTTAAGGTATAATCACACCCATGAAGCAAATATTTTCCCCACCTCACCCCCAGGTAGGTTTAAGTATCATTATCTGAACTCTATTATGCCAAGAGAGTAATGTTTAGCTATTAAATCTCTTCAGAGATTCAGTCTTTTGCATACTTACTGCATTGCTTAACAAGTAAGCTGTATCCTCCATATCCAACACCATCTTTAGGCACAACAGCGTGATAAATCCAGTAAACCAGACAGAGGAGCAAATAGCAGGTTTTCTACTTCACTCAAGTAGGAAACTAGGTTATATATACAAGCTGCTATTCTGCATAGGCTTATGGCTCCCATAATGCCCAGCTCGAAAAACCAAACCAGACTAACTCAGGACGTCATTCTTAAATAGGATTTGAGTCAGGTTTGACCAGAAGTGCTTATTTAATATAGCTCAGACATCAAAGATCAACTAAGTCTATGCCACACAGCATGGGAAGTGTCAGCTTTCAAACCTGGGAATTAGTCATTTCTGTTCCCATTAGGTTCTGTTTAGTTCAGGTGCCTTTGGGATCTTGATTTCACAAATGCTAAAATATCCCAAACTGATTCTAAATTAAATCAGAAGCAAGTTCATTTCTAAAAGCCAGGAGTAAAGATTACCGTATGTGTACAAAAGACTTTGAAACTCAAGAAACCTCACTTGATCTCCACTTCAGCAAATCCCACAGCAAATAAACCAGCATTTAATCTAAATTCTTCCTGCCCAGTCATACTGATTTTATTGTAGGTAACATTTCTGTCAAGCAATTAGCTTTTCTAGGAATTAGTTATACTATACAGCGAAAGAGATTTGTAATAGCTCTAGGATAACTAGTACTGTTTTCTACCTTAATTCTGCATTTACAAGGCATTTAATGCAGCATCAGCAGGTTGGCAAACCTTAGCAACAGTAATGAAAGCAAATGATATTATATAATTCTTCTCCCGATAAACGCTGCATTTTAAATTACTTCCTCTTTAAAGGAAAGCCTTTTATATCATCACAGTGATAAGCCTTTTGTATCATCACATATTTCTTGCTGTGAATGCCACACCTCTTCAGTAATGGCCCCGAAAAACCCAGAATAATCATTCTTAGAAGAGACAACCTTTCACAATTGAGTATCCTCCTCCTCTATGCATGAAAAAAGATCTGTTCAGGATAGACCAAGCAAGGCACTTGAACCTGCATATCCCACTGACCTCTGAAGCTAATTTTTCTGGATCTGGAAGCCTGGTTCCAGTTCACACTCAGTATCAACTAAAAATAGGAGCATCTCTGGACTAATGACTGGTATAAATAACAGTCAGTTTAGCAGCTGGTTTAATTCTTCATCTTTACAATGAGACTCACGTCATCAAGTGGGTTGCGCTATTTTCACTAGCTTAACTACAAATAGTGAAAAGGTTCTTCTAAAAAACCCTTCCGATTCAATCTTTTTTAGGGAGGGGAGTGGGTGTGTATGTGTGTGATGTCAAACCAACTATTTCACGTCTCTACTGATCCTATCAAAAATCAAGAGATTTGGCTACGTGATGTGCGGACGAATGTTTTCAAAATGTAGAGCACTGAAAACAGATGGCAGCACATCCCAATCAACATCAGCGTTGCAGTAAGAGGCTCTTCACCAACTGATTTGTATTAAAACACTATCTTAGAAAAAAATCCAAGATACACTAATCCGATAGAAGGATAAAGACAACTCACCATCTGTTCACATCTCTCACTTTAGGAGAGGTACAATCTTTTCTTAGCGCTCTAAAAACACACAAAAATGCTTTTGATACATGCAATTTAAGAGAGGTTGTCTTAGTTTGAAAATAACTGATCCCTTTTAAAGTAGTTTTGAGTTAGTTTGTGTACATTTTTTTTCTCATCAAGTGACATTTTCTATCATTTTGTCATGAGATTAGAGGGTTGAAGCAATCTGTAAATTGATACCACAGGAAAGCTCATTTATTCTCTCCATTCTAGCATAGCTAAGGGAGATATGAATCGTGGAATATATTTACAAACAGCTTGTTATTCATTTTCTTGAATAGGGGATATGCAGTGAAAATATTTTAAACATTTCAAAAGAAAACATATGCATTGCATGTTTTGCTAAATTCTCTGTATTTTCTATTTTAATTCAAAACTATGCATCCCATCAAGCTTATTTTAAAGCTTTCAAATACATTTAATCCTCAAAGCCCATTTCATGCTTTTATTTAATTTATAATATTATGTCTGTTAAATATAATTCCCTTCTCCTGCACAGAACTGAAGGAAAAGCTTTAAAAAAAGCTAGGAGAGAGTATGTTTTAAGTTCATAAAATTTTGGATACTTTGGCTAAATTCAAATCAGAAATTTAATTAACTAGCTGTCCACTTATGCTGTTTTTCATTTTTTTATCGCCAATATCTTGAAGATCAAAAGTGTTTGAGCTCTTAATATAACACTTCGATAGCAGGTACCAAATCCCCTTTACCCTGAAGTTATTTAACAGCATCTGCTGTAGCTTTCTCTACCCTGAAATTGTTCATTTCACCTATATTAGATTATTAGATATTAGATTTTAATACGGAAATAAGCATCATAGATGCAGCCAATACCCAATGCCAGTGGGAAACCCACCTGCTCCGTCACACAACGGGGAGAGGCTGAGCTGTCTCCTGTTGCAAGGGGACTCCCCCTTGCCCACCTCCAAGGCAGGAGGACAAAAGTGGTACCAGTGCATTGGTGGCTGCAGGTGACCAAGCATCAACCGTTGCAGGGGACCAACTCAGCTCTGCCACCTAGAGATGCTGCATGGCTCAAAGCTTTGCCTCACTCTGGAGAGAGCAGTTTCCTGCACTGCTCACTTGCAAAATGCAAAGTTAAGGGCAAATATACACACCTACTCCATTACTATCAAGTTAGAGAGCTGACACATATTAAACTGCAAATGCAACTGAAGTGTTTTTGCTGAACCAGCATAAATTAGGACAGGGCACACTGTCCTGCAGCAGTTTGTCATTAATTGTGCCAAAACAGGTATGTTTGGGCAGGAATGTTCCCTTACTGGGTGGACTAGGTAACTTTATACCCGAATTACTTCAATTACCTTAAATACTTAAACTTTCAGGTAGCTGCTGCAGATCCATACCTACAGCACCAATGGGAAGAAGATATTGGTTCTTCCACTCTGCTTATCTTGGCTACTCCCTAATAATTCCATGAAAGAGTAGCCATAACCGAGCCTTGCCATGTGAACTTTCAGGAGGAAGGAGATAGGATGACTTAAACCAAAAACAGGAAAACAAACAAAAAAGAACCCTGCTGTAGTCAAATCTAAAATAGCATGTGAATAAGACTTTCTTTCCAAATCTGAATATACACACAAAGTTCTTTCTTGGAACCAGAACACCTCTGGGGCAGTCCTGCAAGGCAGAAACAGTGGCCAGTGATAGGCAAAGTTGGTAACTCAACCTGACCTGACCCCAAAAGGGCCAAGCAAATTGCAAGCTATATGATGGACGTCCATGTCCACATAGAGGTGCTAGAACAGCTCCATACTCTCAAATGCTGAACACTGACTTTCCTGACCAGATTCGCCCTCTCCTAAGTAGGCAGCATGTGGGTCAGGGTGCTTGTTCAGCACACCCATGGAGCTTCACTGACAAGGACCTCCAGAGCCACATGAGGACTCCTGCACTTCCACAAGCCAAGCTCTCATAACAGCTTTAAACAGAACTTCAGGATGCACAGGGAGGTTATGTGCAGCTTTCGGCACAGATAAGCCTGTATCCTTTCCAGTGCTGGTTCTTAACATAATGGACTGAGACTGTTTTTCCACATTTTTCCTTCTTGAACTAGAACAGCTAAGGATTAAGTTCTAAGAAAGGAAGATAACTTAAAAAAAGAGCTGGCACAGCAAGACTAAATGACAAGAATCATTGGTCTGGATTAACGACAGTTAATCCAAAACAAAACAAAAACTAAACAAAACAAAAAGGTTTACACAATTTGATCTCACAAGTTAAAAATCTCTATATAGACAGAGTTCAGAAACCAAGCAAATTCACTCCAAGAATAGAAATGAAATACAGGTCACCTCTAATCATATTTAATCAAAATATTGCTGTATTCCCTATCGAAAACTTAATCTGAATCCCAGATTAATTTAGAAAAAGTGATCAGTCTGGACCCTGACAGAAATAATCTCACATGTTGTGCAGAGTCTTGCAGGAAGCCGCACAGAGATGAGTAACTTATATCAAGATTTCAGAGAGTGGATCATTAGAAAGACAAGGGTGAAGCTGTAGTATTAATAAAAGCTAAAATTTTGCTATAAAAAAGCCACTGAAAGATTCCCAGTGAAAATAAGTGAAACCACCATCTCCCCTGTTTTCCAACAGAAAAATAATGCTTAGTTTGTGCTCTATTTTATTACCTTCTTGCACAGTACCAAATCAAAGATACATAAATGTTCAAATAATAAAAAAAAAAGACAAGATGTACTTTATCCCACGTACAACCATCTGCAGGTACAAGAACTAAATAAAAATGCAATAGCTTGCCTTATTCCTGCAAACTATACCTCCCTCTTTACACTCCCTCAATAAAATAAAGTTATCCGGTAAGCATCTCTTTCCCCAGCATGCACATTCTAACCTCAGAGAGGGGATTTCATCATCTATTTTTTTTCAAGGCAAGTGAGAGTTCATTGCTCTCTCCTAATTCAGTTCACCTCGACTCAGAGCACAGTGCATTGCCCGAGTTGCATCTTAACTTCCCAACCAAGAAACCAACATCAAGAAGATAATGTAGATGGGGAGCTAAAAGACTCACAAAGTCAACTCTTCAAAGCATAACAAATGAGGAAGGTAGGATACCACCATTTTACCCAACTGTATATTTTATGAATATTCCATCTGAGAATAAACATATGGAAGTTACTGTCCTGGATAAAAGTGATTGCTTAGCATCGTTACCACTCCACAGCCTTCAGCGTCTGTTGAGAAACTTTAGTAAGATACATTAAGAGGGACGTACCCTTAGAAGAAAGGCATGCCCACTGCTAATGAAAGAAAATTAATTGGGGAAAGTGCATGCATGTGCACAGGGAGGGATATTTTGCTTTTGCTAATGCTACACAAAAATCTCATGCAGCAAGAATAGAGCTGCCTGCATCTATTCACCTCTTTTCGATGAAACTTTCTCAGCGTCAGTTTGAAAAGGCCTCCTGCAATCCCCTTCACATCATTATGTAAAAATCCATTGAGCCCTGTCCCACAGTATTTTTCATGAGCAGTCAGTCATTTCTGATCACTTCTTTTTTGATTTTTTTAATATCAATTCAGTTTCTCTTTTACCCAAATTGAAAAAGAAGAGCTTTACTTGCCTGAACATCAAAGTCTGGAAGAAGGCGAGTGATAGCCTGTGAATAGATCAAGACATTGATGTAAGTAACTTTTGAAGCTACAGAAATCTGCTTTTACATAAGCATTCAGGCTTGTGTGCTCTAAGCCACAAATACAAAAATTCACCTTAGAGCTTTTACCCACTTATCTTCACAGCAGATGTCAAAGCAGGAAAATACTGGCTTATAGACCAGCAAAATAAAGCACAAAACCTAGTACACCTTAAGTTATCGCTAAAGTTATTGGACAAGTCAGCACAGTAAACACTGAACTTTTTTCCATTGCTTATTCCAGCCACGAGACAGCTAACAGCCCACTTCAATCCTCCCTAGGATGGAAGGTCTCTTTGTTAGGGCATGCAAAGGGCACTTGAAACTCACTTACACAGCCATTACTGGAATTTGGTTATACAATGTGGAAGGTGGGAAAGATTTTATCCTGGGCAAAAACAGGCTTTGTTACGTTTGGGAAGCTGGCCAAATATAGAGAGGTCCATTCCAACCTGTGACTGGCCATCAGCATTACTGACAGCCTCCCACCACTATCCAGTATCTCTGCCGTCATCCTCCCCATTTCTGATAGTGTAAAATACTTCACAACTTCAACAGGAGAAACACCTTAAAACCACCTCCAACTAGTAAGAGACACAAAGCATGTGAACTGTCTTTCCATTAGAGTGGTTAAATATGAAGAGAAGAGCAATTTGGCCAAGCCTACACTTGCTGTGAAGCCAAAACCTGGAAAAGAAATACAGACCTAAAAAAGGCTAGCAACCTGTTGAGGAAGTTATGCAGTGCAAAAAGCCCACGTAAATTAAGGACAGAAGACACCCAAAGCACAACTGCTGTCTTAGATGATGAACTTACAGCACTGGAGTACAACTTGCAGTTACGAGCAGCGATCTTCATGTAAGTAGGCAATGGCTTGTACATTTAAAGAGCTGACTCAACTTTGTGGAAGTCAGTTTGCAAAGTCTTGGCACAAGATGAGAGTTCACTCTGTACAAGCTACATTTTTAACCTTGAGCAACTTGCTGGATTTTAATCTTACCGCACTGTTGATCTCTAGTTGTACTTTTCTTAAAAAAAGATGTGGTCTGTTCTAGTGCGGTCTAAAGTTGAACATAATATAAGTGGATGTGACAGCTACTAGACATCCATGTAGATATCCTATGACTAAATTTGCACCATTGTTCAGTAAAAAAGACCCACCTATACACAAAAACTTATGTACAATAGGCCAAGATATGATTTCAGGTTGTGTCACCCACTCAACACCAGCTTCTCCTAATTTTAGTATGTGCTGAGTATCTTTCAGGGTAATCGTTTTTTCATTTTCTCAAAATACATAAAACTCATTTACTCCATGGTAAGAATGATCACGCGGAGTGACTGTGTGCCAATTTCTATGTATAAACAAATATTAAGGTAGCATCATTAAATAAAAGCATACAGAGTTTGTTGTGAAGATGCAGCTTCTCATCTACATGCTGTAGAAACCCCGAAAGTTCTTCAATGTTAAGATATTTCTTTGAAGAACTTTGAAGCAAAGACATTTCAGTAACTATGGCACTTCTGCTTAATACCTGCTTCACTTTGCAACTACTAAACAATATTGGCATTAAAAAGGGGATCTTAGTTTGAGTGCTGCTTTTACTGCTATCCAAACAAGCTCTGCTTTTATGCAATGTCCTTGGCAAAGGAACTGTGTTTAAAGTTTGTCCAGCCATTTCACTGCAGTCTTAAGTGGAAATGATTTTCTGAAGTGTTTATGCAACAGAGGTAGGGGATAAAAGAGAAAGGAGCAGATAGAGCAATGAATAGTTCTAGTATGAAGGGAAAAAAAAGTAGATTCATTATTGTCAAGAGTTACAAACACTGTGAAGAAAAATCTAATTTTTGATTCAAGGGAAAAGCCGATGGGTCCATTCATGTACTGCAGTTAAGTATTTGCCAAGAACACACTGAAGCACAGAGCACTATTATCATGGAGCAAGGTCAGACAGGCACTGAACTCAGACACTGTGGGCAGAGAATTGCTGAAAATTGCGGATGAAAGAAAGAAAATGAGAAAAAGAAAAAGAAACACAGCACATTTAAGTAAAAAGGCGTAAGATATGCTGCAGCCTACGAGGCATGCCTACAGCTTGTGTACACACAGCTGGCTGCAGTCCTGAGAACAGTTTTGCCATGGTAAGGCAGAGCTCAGGGCAGCTAAGGAGATGGGATGGTCACGCTCAGACCTCAGCACAGAGGCATGAAGGCTCTCTGCATAGTTGTGCCTCCATTACAGGTTCCTGTAAAGCAAAGTTTGTAACCCTACATTAGTTAGTTTACAGATATAGAAGATCTACATGGAGTGTCTAATTGGAACCATCCAAAATAGCTAGAACTGCCATTATTCAAAAAAATGAAAAAAGGAAAAAAAATCTAAAAATTGTCACCACTAAATGAATATTCAAAGAACAAAATCAAAGACTGAGGCAGAACAGAGAATTAATAAGGCTCAATTTTGCCTTACTTTCAAAAAAGGAAGTTGCCCTTCTGCTGTCTCCATTTTCTCACACATGTTTTGCTAGAGTTAATCTACATATAAGTGCAGTTCCAACAATAACCTGGAAATAAAAAGCTTTAAAAACTCACCTCCTCCTTTTCCACAAGAGGTTTCACCTCTGCAAGGTGAGCATCCTGGTACTCTGCTGACATGGTCAGTAGCTGGTATCTGCAAAGATGGAAAAAAGCATTTATTCTCAACTTGTGTCAAAAATGGGAAGAAATAAAGCTCCCCCCAATGACCCACTGTCTCGAAATATAATTTAGAAGATTTTTATATGAATGTTATAAATCTCTTGGAGGAATCTCTTCACTTATGTGCATGCAAAATGGACTTGATTTTGCCTATTAAAAACTTTTGGCTTGAGCACACAAAATCCCAACACAGCTGCACCATGTTAACTGCACACACCTCCCATTCTATCCTCCACCTCCAGTCTGGAGGGACGATGCTTATTTGTCCTTAACATTTGACTATTTAAACTCAGCTGGTGTTACAACAACCTTTATGAAGGCCGACATTAACTTAAGCACTTCAGCACTTTTCTGCCAAAACACTTCCTACATCCCCAACACTAGTTTTCTGTCAAGACAAACGGTGCAGCAGACCCTCCTGCAGATCCGTGGGACCCTTCTGCCTGTCCAGTGGGAGTTTGCAGCTCAGTGAACCATTCTCCCCAAATCGGGAGTTGCAGAACTGCACGTTTTCATTCTCACAGCAGAGGACAAGGTGCATGAGGCAGAGGGCTGCTCCCTGAGAGGTTCTGCAGAACAGCTACTGAGCCTATTCCAACAGCAAGATGAGCAACATGAAAAGTCAAAGCAGGTTGAAAACACCTGCTGGAGAAGTCCGTGTCATACTGTCATGCATTTGGGGCAAAACTGGAATTCCATTGACTACATCATGATAAAATGCATTAGTTCAGTTATTTCTTGGGAAAAATCTTAGAATTGTCTCAACTGAAGCATGTCAGCATGTTCACAATGAAAAACAAAAAGGCTGCAACATGTTTAGCACTTACTAAGCACAATCACAAAGAAACATTTTAATCATAGGCAGTTTTTCTGAACAGGGGAAACAATAAGCATAAAAATACGAAACAATATTTTTAAAAAAGAAAAAAAAATCAATTTTTAAACCACAGTTTCTAAACCACAGTTTCCTGCCTCCTGATTTAAATCAATACTCCCAGCCTACCACCAATAACCTCATGATCAAGTCAGGGGCAGCCGTGGTATTTGGACTCAGCCCTACGGGTTCACTTGTTGCATTTTTGGCTGGACAAAGTCATGCAAGTGAGAACGTTTGTAAGACGTCAGGATGCCGCAGGAAGCTATGAAGTGGTGGGCACTGATGAAGAGAGCTAACGTTGAACATCCTCTACAGAGGTGCCGCATGCAAAAGCTGTTTCGGAAAGTTTATTATGAGCTATGCAACCAGATGGATTTTTTTTTCTGGCAAATATTTATACTAGGAATTTTAAGCTTAGTGAAACGTTTCATGAATATTTAACCCTGCCACTTGAGATGCGTGATAGTAACAAACTGTCCCCAACCAAGTAATTTATAATCCAAATTTATTACAGAGCACCGGAACTATTTAAAAAGCCAGAAAAGTCAAGACAGTTAATTCCCCATCAGTCACTCTGATGCACCCTTTTACTTCAAGTTTTCCAGAAAGTTTAGCCTGTTCAAGACTTTTGGTCAAGCTTGCCAAAGATGACAGTGGCATTTTAGGAATAGTTTCACATACCCTTAGAATTACAGCCATCTCTAATCTGCTATTCTACAGTGAGCTATTGTATACAGCAGAAGGGGCAAACAAGTGCTGCAGCAATATTTCAAGCTTGAGAATGTTTCCATGCAGATGCCGCTAACTCAAGAGGTTCTTTTTGTACAGCAGCAGATTCTGCCAAGACAGAAAAAGCACCTTAATGCCTCCTGCATTTTACAATGTTGGCCAGAAGCAAACAAGGTTTTTGCATATTTTGTCTACAGAGGAGGAGAGGATGAAGCTGGACTGCCCACAGTTTTCCAGGCAAAAGCAACTGGGGGATCAATGCCACCACTTGTGTTTGTGGAATAAAAGTTGTTGATGTGGGACAGCATCAGATTTGCAGGGAGCCAGAACTTTGACCACAAACGATGCAAAAAGTGGCACCTAAAAGAACTGCACTGCTACCTTTTATGGCTCTAAAAACAAAACAACAACAACAAAAAACACCCACCCCATTTTCATAATAGTTCAAGATTGTTGCTCGACATTTCCGAAAGCACCAGCTTGCAACAAGGGCTCACTTCTGGAGCCAAAACGGCTCTTTAAACCACATTATGCTCTCAGGTCAGGCATTTCCATGTTTTGGGTTTTCCTTTTCTCTGCTGGCAACACCTGAAACTTTCCCACCGACAAGCAACCCTGCTCACCAGGCATGACAACCTGCTGTTAGTTTGCCAGAGCTGGCGAATGCAGCCCTGGCATCTGGCCCTGCTGTAAGAAAACATCCTATTTTTGGAAGTTGTTGGGGAAGTGGTTTTGTGTCATCCATACTCAGCATAAGTTTTATAGTATATAAATGGGTGCTTTTGTGTTTCCCTTTTATGTGGCACCATAGCTTGAAGCAGGACTGTCCTAAATAGATAACTGTTCGAGCACCAGTTTATACATATCTCAAATCCCTTGCCTCACAAAACTGTTCAAAATTCAAAGTTCACTTGTATTTGCAAGCACTTATGCAAAGTTGCCAACACTGAGAAAAACAATTTGGGGGTATTTTTCCTTCTCCATTTCACTTTGTCCACACAGCATGCTCAGAGACCCCAAGTTCTCCTTCCCAGGAGCAGCTGCCTCCTCTGAGCAAGACCCCACCAACCTATGCTCATTTGTGAGCCACACAGGTAGGGTGAAGCTGTCTGCAACACTGGTCATTAAGGTCATTGAAAAAGGCTTTTCGGAATCAAGTCCAGCCCAAATCCACTGCTCCCAAACCATCAGTTTCCTAAAACAGGCCCAGGAACCATTTCACTGGCCCTGATTATTAGCAGTTCAGACTATATCCCAGGATATTCCCCGTGGGAATATAAGCAGGTGGAGGGGTGGGGCTCTGCGGTTTTATAATTCTGCAGCTGGTCAAAGCACTATCAAAACAAGCAGATTTGGGCGAGGAGAAATGGAGCTAAAATGCTTCCAGAGCTTTGCTGAAATAGATTGGTAGTGATTGCGGTAGGTCACAGGTCTGAACCAGCTGTGCATCGCTGGAGAGCAAATCAACAGCTCAGACCTCCACCAGCAAAGCAAAACAATGCCCCTCAAAAAACATATCTCACCTAAAAAGAAAGGAGTGGAGGTCAATTAAAAACATGGGTGTGGTTATCCCAAGACATAGCTATGCTCTACTAGGCATACTCCCATTAAGAGCAGTTTACATTTCAGATAGTTCATAATAAACAGCACAAATTTAATCTTCTTATTTATGATTCATTGGAAAATTATTTCTTTTGCAGTTCATGCACAAGTATCAGCCTACTCCATTCCCTGGTTAAACTATGCTTTGTTGTACACATTCATATCTAGGAATGTCTTTAGGAGTCATGAGCTCCTTTGTGTAGTGGTTCTTTGCAACATAGTTCCATAAAATAAATCAAAAAGAAGTTTTAATATGAATGATTTTTCCACAGTTCTTCCCTCAAGGAACAAAAATCTCTCTTTTCAGTTAAGTATCAGCTTGATACTTAACTTAATGATCAATTTTAGAAGCAAGTGTCAGGAGCCAGAGGAGCTGAAAATACTTGGGACTTGTTTCCCTTAGCCTCTGGTGACTTCCACATAATCTCAATTTGCAATTAAAAGTTAATAACCTAAAACCAAGGAAGCTTGGAATAAGCAAGCCTTAAATTGCCTCAAGTCTCAGACCAAAAGGATAAGGAACCAGTGTATTTCTAAACTAAGGAAAAGATCTGGGGAAACTGAAACTATTACAGTGTCTGCTGATGTTGAATATTTGGGGCCGGCATCCTGTGAGCCTCAGTGTAACAGTAAATCCCCATCCACAGATGTCACTCAGCCCACATAGCCTAGCAGACTGCAGGCATTTAACTTTTACATTTTACATTTAACTTTTGTTTCTCACCAATTTGCTTTCATTCCCTTTCAAACTCTTTTACTCTTCTCCTCCCCCCAGCACTCATGCTTTTGTGAGTGCCATAGTCAAAAAACAAGAGCTTTGGCTGCTGCCTGCTTCAAAGCCAGAAACTAAGGACTTAAAGTTTTACCCATTTCTAAGGTTAGACTTTTGCAAGGTGAGCTGATAAGCAAGCTGAAATGTTTTGACCTTGAGCACTGTGCCAAAGAGCCAAATTAAGTCACAAGGAGACAACTTTGGGTCAAACACAGCCTTTAAACCAGCAAACTGTCAGACCAGGGACTAGTTACTCCTCATGTGTAGATATCTTCTGGCAGCTGTAGATCCATAGTAGCCTTAAAACAAGCTGCACTGGAAGTAACTCCTGTATCTATTCCACAGATGGTCGGAAACACTTGAGGGGACTATTGCAACACAGTTTGCACAATACTTTCGCTGCGGGATGAGCTGAAGAATGTGCCTTAGAAAGTTTGGGTTCCTCCCCTGCTTCACAGCAGTAGAAATCTGGCTCACACTTGCCCTCTCCGCAGCAGTGTGAGCTGCTGTGTGTTCCTAATCTGCTGGGAAATGGGGAGCATGCAGCAGTCTGAGCTGGGCTTTTTCAGCAGATGCCAATATTGCCAGGAGGGCCATGTTACAACTCCTGGAGGAAGAGATGACAAACCCTGGCAAAGTTCTGAAATTCATGTTTCTTCAGCATCTGGTATCTGAAAGTACTTCCAGTCACACTTCCATGAAACAGAAGTCTCCAGTGGTCAGAAGTTTCTTTAAGGAGCTTAAAAAACAGGGCTTGCACAGTCCTTTCTGGCCACAGAACTATGAACCCAACCTGCTTCCCCAAGCAGCAGTTTTCAGCTGACAGGATTGTGAGCAGTTCTTGCTCAGGGCAATGGCCTGGCACAGCACATGGGCCAGGGGAACCCACCGCTTGCATGGGAAGAAGCCAACATCTCACTGGCAACCTCAGTTGATTTAGAAACACTTTGTGCTCATTTGCTCCAGTGCCAATATTGTCCTTTAACTGTAAA